GGGATACTTTTGGTTGAAATTGACTTCAGACTATTCAAGCCAGGTTTCCGAAGTGGAAAACTTGGATTCCGTCGGCCAGAATTCCCAGGAAGGTCGGGGGTAGCCATTTGACTTAGCAGTGATGGGACTCCAGGACGAGGTCTCATAGGGACCAAGGCTACATCCGGCTGACCGATGGGAAGGTCGGGATAATTTTGGTCGAAAATGACTTTAGACTATACAATCCGGGTTGCCAAAGTGGAAAACTTGGATTCCGTCGGCTAGAATTGCCAGGAAGGCCGGGGGTGTGAACTGCAGACTGACTGGCATCACACGGCCCGATGCACTTGCAAGCATGGTCAAGTGAACCGGATAAATGGAGACACTGGTGGAATCAGAGAAAGAAGCTAAAGAATAACTACTCGGCATATTTAACACAATTCGCAGCCATTCGCCTAGCACCATCCTCGACAGGGACTACTCTGACGGCGATGGTTCTACTTTCCAGGTCCACCACGTGGAGGTTGCTGCGAATGAGACCCTGGCAGGTGGGTGGAAATTCAATTCCACCAACCTCCCGTTCTTATTCTAAACCTTATTTTAAACGCAGTAATCAGTATCGCACTTAAGAATAATCCCGCGGCGGCTGTCTTCTTTCTTGAGTCTGAAATAATGGAGTATCCCACGGCGGATGATCGACGTCTTCTTTCGCACGCTTAATTCTAACGCCGTTCAACCGCAACGCATACTTTTATTATACAATCATCGCAGTACAGTGAGCGAATCAGGAAAGAAGTCCTTAATTCGACAACTGGGAAAATCGGAGAAGAAGTTCAAAGTAATGTTACAAAACGCTTGATGGCTCAAATTAAAGATTATGGGACAAAGATAATGATACATATATGAGTTCTTGTAAATCCATAAGACAACAGACTGAACATCACTATCAAGTGAATATTTATACTTGTGTTACTCGTTATGTTCTTGTAGAACACAATGAACACGTCAAAAAATCGGTAATAACTCATTAATTACGTCTGAAATATGATTCAAGGCATTTCCAGAATGTTGCGGAAGGCACATTCTAATTTCTTCAGTCGCAAATATTCACCAATTATGTCTATTAAATGAGAAACTTGTTGATTTATTGCGCACCAGTGAAAAAATTCTAGGTTGCTTGGAACATCGTCCCGAAGAATAATTCATTAATAATCAACGCGGTGCAAAATTCCATGAATGGTGACGTGAGAAAGTAGGGGAATGAACATTCTACAATCTTATATTGCGAAGATCAACAATTTATTCGTAATAGTTTAGTTATTAATGAATTCGCTGCTAATTTCGTTGTTTCTTCACCATCGACATGTCGCATTTAGTTGTTAGCTGTCGCGGCTAGATGGCGCACTTTCGTATACCTCCTTAGTCCTGATGCTTCGCGCGTACGTACCAGGGACCGATGAGATGCTTTTTCGAAGGAAGTTGAATCGAGTACGCTGTCTCTGTCTTTGTCGCACAGTAGCTCTGTCCTTGTCTTACACATGGCGGGGATAAGGAAAAGCTGCGGAAACGGCCGTCCGCTAGATGGCGATGCTATCGTGTTACAGCAGAACTCCCTGTTCTTGTCGCACGCTCGTCCTTTCCTTGTCTTACGCATTCAAAGAATTGGAAAATTTCCAAGAAATTCTAACAAGTTTCGATAGTCCTTTTCATTTATTCTACCATAATGCTATCGATAGTATTTTATGTTACATTAATTATCGAACAACTGTTCTTCGCAAATGGAACGATTTCGCTCAAGTCTGTGCAAATAAGTATAAATAAACGAATGAACGATAGAGCTGTCCTTCTTTATTGTTTTATCTGAGTATTAGATTGTTGTATACACGCGTAACATCTTATAGCATTTATCAGAATATTAAATGGAATTGACAATGTTCAAGCGCAATAGAATACGAATACAAGAAATGTACATACACACAGTTTTCCCCTGATCGGGTGCATAGAAAGAGACACATGGGAGAAGGAGAGTCTCCGTAGGAGGGAACCTTAAATTTATTTCATATTTATGACACATTCATGTATAATAAATGTAACTCGATAGCAGAAGAAAGCTATTGGGATGTATGTGTGAAAAAATAGACGGAATCATAATGAATTAGTGAAAGTTCATTGTTATATTCGCATTTCTCTTGTTAATTTGTCCAAGACTGTCTGTACTGTGGAACCAGACACTACTACAATCTTTTGACGACTTTTCGAACCCTAGAAGAAATTCAATATGAATAGTTGAATTCGAAACAAGTTCCAATGAATAGAATATGAAATGGTACCGACTCTATCCAAGAATACATCCGATTTTCGCATTCCTAATACGGAAGCTAAATATTTGACAAGTTCCACGTTCGCTTCGCCTTCGACTGGAGGGGCGGATATGGCGATGCCCACAAATTCTTCAGAGATATCTGCAAACAAGTTCGTTTCCCTGTGTACCAATGAAAAATCAAACGTTTTCAATGTCATTCCATAAATTGCAGAATAATATTACCCGTTATATTATTATTTTTAGCTCCGGGCTTTGCGTGGATCCTGATGGTAACGTTTCCATTTTTATCTAGACCCACGGGTCCCTTGGCTTCCTGCGCAAACAGAAAAGAAACTACTGCACTGTCGAGAAAGAAAATAGAAAGAAAATAGAAAGAAAATAGGGGGCAGACTTGGTCTTTTCTTTGTATTCGTTAGTACTCGAGCCGTGTAGTGGCACAAAGAAATAACCGTTTTTCTTTCGCTGATCGACGCCGCCGAGAAAGAAGATGTACAGGGATCGCTTAGAGTTTTAAGCTTCACCACCGGCTCGTAAAGATACTCGCGAGACTCCTCTGTATGATACTTTGTATACATATAATATTGCAATTTGATCGAACATGGATGTTTCATAGATTCCTATTAACGATATTCTTGAATGAATGATATTAATGGTATTAGTTGTTGAATACTTTTTAATACGCTTGGAACAATGCTGTAACGAGTCGGAGGTTTTCGAAAAGAATTTCGTCGATAGAAGAATAATGAAACGCGATTGAAAATGCAGAATTGCAGAAGCATTCACGCGTGCAACGATGTCGATAAAGCCGATAAAGTAGTAATTCTGAAACGAACAGATTTTAGTAGGATACAGTTGGTACTGAAATCGTAAGTCACCGGATCGTGTATTCACGAGCGACACCTGGCAGCGTCAAGTGTAAGTTGAACGTGTGCTTCGGAAAATGTCATGTTATTTTCTGAATAGGTGATTAAACCTCGATTACGCTTCAAAATTTGAATTTCATCCGAATCGCAACTGGTAATACTCTTTGAATTATCCACTAACCTCGTTAGCCGTCGCTTTCTGTGTTTTGCCAACTTTCTTTGAGCCTTGCTTCGACATTTCACAAATACTTGTTAAACGCTGTAAACTGCTTTCACGTAGACAAGTATTTCGAAAATACCACATTATTTCGAATTCAAAAGTAACCTTGCATCGCATCCATGATTCGATGCCTTCGTATAAAATGTATACAAATTATTGTTTAACCTCATCTGCTTGCGGTCGACTGGTACATCTGCGCACGTGTAGCAGAAATGCCAACCCAACTATAGGGAAATCCGTGCACCGCGCGCGTATTATTAAATCGCTTAAACAATAACTCCATATAGAGCATATCGACTCCGTTATTAGCCGTTGTTCGCGTATCAAAAGAAAATTATGCAAAAGATAATAATGGTTAAAGAGTTGAATGAAATGTAGATCGACATGCCCAAGAAATTCGTCGGTGAAAATAGTAAAGCTGTCGCTGCCAGAGCAAGAAAGGCAGCAGCCAAGGAAGCTGAAAGTACAAGAAAGGCTTTGGAAGCGGAAGATAAAGCCTGGCAAGATGACGATAAACAATTGCTGAAGAAGAAACAAAAACTGGTATACCTGATATTCGTGCACACGTTTAAAACTGTTGGAGTACTGATCGTGTTCTTCAATGTATTTCATTGGGATTTTGATATCGTCAATTTTATCATTATTCATAGGAAGAACAAGAGAAGAAACGTCAACAGCAGTTAGAGAAGAAAGCAGAGACGAAAGCTTTGCTCGAGAAGGAGATGGCAAATATAAAAGTAGGTGGCAAGCAACCCGCCGCCAAGATAACTAGAGCTGAAATTGTGGTTGCCACGGAGAAACGAAATCAGGTAGCAATGAAAAAGAAAGAGGAAGAGAAACCGATCGAGGAGAATTTAAATAGACTGACGATCGAAGGTGAAACTGCACATGGTATAGACGAAGCTTTAACTATTTTAAGGTAAGAAGAAAAGTAACATTACAATTTGACCAAACTAATGAATTTCCTTGAGATTTAGTTGAAAAAAAAGGAAAAGAATCGTTCCAAGTGTATTTAATGCAATACTATCTATTTTAGTACAAAGGAACCGGAAGCTGATCGTCATCCAGAGAAACGTGTGAAAGCTGCGTATGCGAGTTTCGAAGAAAGGATGATGCCTATCGTGAAAGAACAAAATCCTACGCTAAGGTTAAGTCAATTAAAACAAATACTGAAGAAGGAATGGATGAAGTCTCCGGAAAATCCACTTAATCAAAAGTTACTCTTAAATCGCTGATATTACTCGATTCTTGATAACACAAACATACATGACGATCGAATAGATGGCTGACAGGAATACGTGGAATAAGACTTATAAATACAATTGTCGATAAATCAAATGTATCTGTACACAATTTTATTGTAAACGAATAAGTTATACTCTGGTAGAATAGAGAAAATCACATTGTATAAATCATCTTTGGTATAACTTATACGCTACCGCATAGCCTCTACATAATATTTTACAATTTCATTTACAAATCGACCTTTACAACCTTCGTTAGAACCGCTTCAATTTGAAGAACCACTGCAACAACCGTGTGCACAGATTTTGGCACAGTTGTGTCATAGAATGAATCAACTTTAATGAGAATAATATCAGTAACCAGCCGTAGCTGCACATTATCGCAAAACGTTTTCAAAGTGTTGGTAAAAAACTTGTTTTTTTGGATTTGTTTTGCCGCTACAATCGTATAAAATAGTATCTATAAAAATGAATGTTCACTAGTATAAAACTAGGTTGTATACAATAGGTTATAATCTTTGTTTCGATGCATAAATTCGCCACATCGAATTACGCACAAGGCATCTAATTTTTTCTTTCAACATATACAAATGAATCGAATACCCGTATAATGAACTTGATTCAAATATAATCTTATTATGCAATAATATATTTTACAAAGTGTCTATTCTGTATATCATATAGACCTAACTATATTACCGCTACCACTTTTTATTTTTCCACAAATCTATAAAACAATGTATCATGTGATTCACTTGTTCTGGACAGTCAGTCATGGGTGTATGGTCAGCTGCTGGAATTGCTTCCAAGAAAGCTTTAAGCATGGTCTGAAAAGATTCAACATAAAAGCTGCAGTTAATACAAAAAGTAAAAAACGTGAGAAAAATATGAAATATTCTTTAATCATTGAGAAACGTATAATATAGAAATACGAATACGAATACGAATACGAACACGAAAACAAATACAAATAGAAGTCTTCAATGATGCAAAAGTATTCGTTTTATTAGAAATATAGATGGATAAAATATATTCTTTAGTGACTGAAAAGATAAATACATGGAAGAGAACAAGTTATTTTCATTAGAAAAAGGTTGTTGCAGAAAGATCCCGTCCAATTTTCCGATATCCGTGTTAAGGTTGTTTCTACTGTGCGTGGTACTCGTCGAAAAGTTTCGCGGTGCTGCCCGTTTTGTAATGCTTTGCGTCACACACTACACCAGTTCAGACATGACGTGTATTGTAATATATAAGGTTTCACTGCTTCCATAGATAAGAGAAGAGAAAATATGAAAATTCTGACGGGCAACCATGTATTAGGAAAGATGGACACCTTTGTTTTAAGCCTGTTTCGATGAAAAAACTAGTGTACATTACTATATTTTACTCGAAATATACGTCATTACTGATGGTGCATCGAATAAGAGTGGTTTGTCGATGAGATAGGTAAAGGAACAGAGTTTTTGTGAAATAAATAAATTGGGTCCGACGGGGTTAACGACTGACTGATTAGATGGAGTCTTTTATCTATACGCACTTTTACTTTTTCATCCGTGAAGGTCCTATCGGATATGCATATTAATGTTAGACGCGCTTTTAATGTAACGTATCATAAATATCTCTCTCAGAACGAAAGTTGCAGGATCGCATAATTTACTTCTTGAGCGACTCTTGTATAACGTTACATACGATTCCAATGTTGAATAATAAATAAGAAACTTATGTTTGTATTTTCAAGTACGTATTGAAATTGAATCCAATGTTACCCCCGTGCGAGTTGTACCATATTGTCTGTAACTTGGTATCTGTATATACCAAATAGACCTCCGTCCGTGTCCTCCGTTCAGTCGAATTATCCCTGTTGTACGGGAAGAATGTTTCATCTCTGACGAGTGGAACTACGATCTGAAGGGGAGAACACGTAGTTGGTATTTTAAGGGCCTCGTAAGAAAAATATTCCGTGAAATCAGTTTGGTCGCGAGACCCACGAGGATTTTCTATGGGTCGAGGGAAAACATCGTACCGAGAATTCGAGATATAGAGGGATAGCATTTAAAAACGTACTCTTTCCATTTGGCATTCTTGCACCAATGACACTTTGTTGTCCCTTAAACCATGTATAAGAAGCGTCGGTGTGCATATCCTTCTATGGAAAATGTAGTCACCATCTGGCCAAACCATGCCGTCTAGAACGTATTTCATGTGCGAGGGCCATTGTTCCGGTGGTTCGGGGCCGCAGTAAGGGTGTTGACGGCCCTTTGCGGAATATAGTATATCTCTGTGAAGGCCACACATTAAAAAAGGCGCGAGGATTGCTCGGAGGCAACAGTGACCGGCGCTTTCGCTGCTGGGTGCTGCTAAAGGAGTTGGACCACCTCCGGATATTAAGACTAGCTGGTGTATGCAACTGTCGTATTTACAGGCCAAGGCAGCCGCGAAACTGCATCTGCGACAAAAGAAAATGAAGAAATAGGAATTTGAGAAATGTTCGTTATTTTAGTTTGCAAATGGCAAAGCGTACGCGGAAAGCGATCTTGTGATTTTCGGAGAGTTTGAAAGTAAGCGCCGAGTAGAGAGACGACAAGGTTTTGCGGATGTTCGGAAAGCAGAGTGAAAGGGAAGGTAATAAAAGGAGTGTTTACCCGTAATTGTGCGCTACCAGAACACACTTCTGTCCGGGTTTGAACGCGTAATGGCAGAGGATGGTGTCGAGATCCTTGAGCAGTTTGTTAAAGTGATAATCCCTGGAGCGACCAGGTGCCGAGCTCATGCCGTGCCCCAGCATGTCCGGTGCGATGCAAGGATAGCCCAAAGCAGAGAAATACCGAAGCTGATGCTCAAAGATATCTGCGGACGATCCAAACCCGTGGATGAATACGATCATCGGCTTTCGGGTCTTCCTGAAAGTAACGAAATCGCGAGGATTCTGTTCGTAAGCGGTCGCAGACGTCTCTTCGATGTTCGGCCACATTTTCCTGTAATCTTCGAGCTCAATAGGGGCCGGCGGCGGTTCCTTCTTGAGCTGCAACGACGGCGCCATCATCTCGGTCGAGCGAATCTGTTCGAAAGACTCGTCGGACGCAGCCGGGTTCGCGCACAGCTTCTTCCGCAGCTTCGACATGGCGTTAGCTTTGTTGAACTTGAAGGAGGATCCGTTCCCGCTGCCGTTCAATTCCAGTCGCAAATTCTCGAAACTGTGCTCGTTAACAATATCCTCTGGCTCCTTGAGATCGAGCATTGCCGGTTCCCTAGCCGCGAGATTATCCGTCGAGATATCGATTCCTCCGGCGGCTTGAACGCTCGGATTCTGCGGCTTGTTGCTTTCCGCATCATTCTTCTCGGTGACCTCCGATCTCTCGGCGCTGCTGCCTCCATCATTGCCCAGATGCTCACCGGTTCTCGGAATCACCTTTCCGTCCGCTCTCTTTGTCGGCTGGCCCTGGGGATCGTTGTCCTGGCCACCTGTGCCACACAAGTCCTCCCAACTGTTCCTCAAAGGCAAGGATATTCTGCCGAGTCTCTCGTCGATGATCTTCAGCAAGGATTGCTCGAGGCTGGGCTCTTGATCCGGCTGGAACTCTATCGTCTCAACGCTGTTTATCCCCGAATCGATACAGTCGAACTGTTCTAGGGTGACTTGCGTTGCGGCCGAACGTCGCAAGTAAAAGTCGAGCGCGTCCGGATCTGTCGAGGAGCCAATGAAGCCGCGATTAACGTATCCCTCCTCGTTACTCGATATCTCATTTCTGCACTGGTTCGGTTCGTTCGGTTGTTTCGCAATCCGATCCGGATCAAGGGACAAGTTTATGTCGTTGAATGACTGTTCGTTATCGAAGCAACGATCGTTGGATGGTTTCTTTTTGCTGCAATTCCGTTTATCCTTGTCCGATCGGCGAGGCGAGCTCTTGTTCCTTTTCAGAGTATTTTCGGCACCGGCAATGTATTTCACAGTGTCGTCGAGAATCTCCTCGAGAAGTATGTTGATGTACCTTTCTAGGTCCTTCACGATTTGATTTTTCATCGTTTTCTCGTCCACTCGAGGATCTTTCGCAACCATTTGATTGGTGATCGCAAGCGCCGCGTCCTCCGATTCCGGTTTCGTTGGTTGACTTTCGGTGACTTGAAGTCTCTGCAAATTCATCGACACCCTTTGTTCCAACTCTTGAATCGCTCGCTCGTTCTTCTCGGCTTCGCAAAGACTCGTTCGAATTCTGTTCAACTCTGCGGATATAATCTGTTCCTCGGTGGTGCTCAAGCGGCGAGACTGCCGAAAGGAACACCTGCAATTCCCAGACGAATGGGGTCTTCTGGACCAACGGGCGAAGAAATTGTCGGCGATAGATTCCGGTTTGTCGTTGCTGGTACTCTCGTAATACCAGCCGCTCTTCAGGGACGGTTTCAGAATTCTCAGGGTTCGACGCGGACCGACGATGAAAAAGTCGCAATCGGGAAGCTCTACTTTCCCGGGACCCACTCGATTCCTGTTTCTCCAGTATTCGAAAACTGTCGCATACCAAGGCGCATCCGGTACTACGGCCTCTTCTCTCTCCATAGTTTTAGCGAAGACTATTTCCTTACGAGTAACGAAGAGAATACCACGGTAACGAGAGAGAGTGCATCGATCAAGATGACAATGTTGCAATTTATCTGTTTGATATTTGCTCGATCGCGCGACCGTCTTCTCGCGGGTTGTCACTTGTTTGCGAATCAGGAGGAGTTTCGATCACCGAATACACCGTGGCAGCGACAGCATAATCGTTCCTTTTTCCTTTTTCCTTTGTCGTGTTGTAGTCGAAGAGAACGAATCGCGAGAATTTTCGATATAATTGCTCCTGGAAATTTCATCCAGCATTTCAACTTTGTAACATTTTTTGGAAACATTCCATCGTCGTCACAGCCTCGATTATTTCTTACTATTCCTATTTGTTCGAGGCGAGAAACATTTCCCTTTCGTTATGTTCATTTTTCAATTGTCCAGCACGGTGTCCAGTAACGACGTATCATCGTTTGCAGGATATTTGTACAATTTCTTTTCGCTGTATACGTTCCAGTCAAGTGCATTCGTAGCCTTGCAACACTTTTCCTGCAGTTCCCGCAATCGTTGCTTGGTCAGACACGATTTCCCCGCGAAATACGAAAGTAACATTTCGCGTGGCTGCTTGTATTAAGCAGTTCACGGTTCGGTGAATCACCGATGATCGTTCCACCGTCGGTACATCTAAACTTCACCGCTCGAACCTGTGGATGGAACAAGTTTTGTTAGAAATTTACCATGTTTAATCTTTATCTTTATAATGTCTTTACCATTGGTCTTTACAATCGGTAAGAACGCGGGTTCAATCTGTCAGAGATTTTAGACTGATCGTGTTAATTGATTAAATACAGTTACACGATGGTAAATGAAAATCATAAATGAAAGACAAGGCTCGATATACCTTTGTCCCTACGTGTTTGCGAAGGCGTAGCAGATAATCGACAGACATACGGTGAACTTTGGACACTTGCAACGCTCAACGGGACCGGAAGGAAAACACTTTCGGATGGCGTAGAAAAAGGACGGAGAAAAGGACAACGCCAGTGAAGGAAAAGGAAAGACCGAGAGTCGAAGCGTGTTCAGTAACCGCGAGACACTTTGTGTTAAATGAAAACAAGGAGTTGGTGGCGGCAAACAAAACGAACGCAAACATTTTCATTCTTTCTACGCTACAAGTACATCTTGATTAACCATCAAGTCCAACGTTTCTTCTTTAGATATACAGATATACACAGTATACTCTTTTCTTAATGTTCAAAGATTACTATTTGCAGTGTAACACGTTTCATATCGTGCATCGTGAACCCTTTGCGGTCGGGTAAAATGAAAATAATTGCAATATTTATTACTAAAATAATTTCTGCGAAAGAGACGATGGAAAATATTATAGTATTTGATAAACGAGCGATACAGTTGAGATTTGTATGTAAAATGAATACGACCGCGGAAGGTTAATCAGTTGTTCAATTTCTTTCAAAGTGACGCAACTACCGCGATCATCTTGGTAATCTCCAATCGATGCGCTAAATTGAGTTTGACACGAGAAAATGGTACACACACGCTAAAATAACGTAATATGACAAGTAATGAAATGTACAAATTTCAATACTTTATCTTTATTGCAATCTTGTATTGTAATCTTTATTGTCGGTAATTTGAACGTTTAATAAAATTATATTGGTTGTCTATACTCTGAGCACATACAGATAACACGAACAAATGTTTGGTTTCAAATGGAACCAAACATTTATCGCATCTGATAACTTGTATATATGACAGTTGGAAAACGGGACGAAAAATGTCGAATGTTG